TCCGCGTGCTGCTTCTCGTCCTCCAGGATCTCCTCGATCCACTCGAAGCGTCTTGCGGAGGCGAGACGGCGTACGGTGTCCTCGTAAATGGGAGTTTGGTACGGAAGCGATGGAGCTCGGATGAATTTTTTGAACTTCACAGCGAGGCGTTTGAGGTTGCGCTCTTTGTAGAGGTCGGTGGAGATGGCGCCAATGCTCCTACTGCTAATGACGTTGGATTGGGTGGCGGTGCAGAAGGAGCGCTGGAGAACTCGAGAGAATCGACATCCTCTCGGAGGTGGTGGCCGCGGGATTTTCGGATTTGGGCCTTTGTAGTTAAGACGTTTGAGAGAAAATAACAACTCGTCCTCTATTTCTTAAAAAACATTATAAAAAAACAGAAAAAGACAACTCGAACTCTTTTTGGATACGGGCTTGAGTCTTGACCGCAGCCCAAAAAGAAAATGTACCCGTTAAGCATATTGGACTAGGTTATTTAGCTGTAAAATATGTAATGTGATAACACATATGAATACTTGATGAACATGCGTCTTGTTCCTCTCAGTAATCTTGTCCATTGACTAAATTTAACGATCAAGATTATTGCACTAAACTTATACATCTATATGATTAAACCAATTCCCAACCTAGGCCGTTTATGCATCCAAAAACGCATTATAAGTTCTGTAACAAAAATTGGACTTTCCGTTTCACATTCAATTATTGTCGTTATTTGTTCTACGTACTCTTGACTCTTGAGCCTTTTCAAGACTAAAATTATAACTCATACATTGTTCTTCAACACTAACACATCAAGCTTCAGCAGTCGCATATGCATTGGAGCATCTTATCACAAGAGCTTGACAAAACTAGAGTTCAGCATGGTTTAGTCTCTAATTGTTTAGACTCGATTTAACACCATCGCCCGATATAATTAAGGCTGTTGGATGAAGAAAGGATTCCGGTTTTACACGTTAGATTTTGAGAGATTATTATTGTGATTTTGTCATGGTATTATTGCATTAGGATCAATCATGGCCGATGCCAGAAGATAGGCTGCTCAAGTTCAAATGAAGATCCCATGCAATCCTCTGGATAAGGATTGCTTTCGCTTGGTCGGTAAAGCTGGGATTAAAGATCCTCTGTTGTTTTATGGACTAATGTGACAAGGAACGTGAAAAGACTTTACCATGTTGTGCATAAGGGATGCTGATTGTGATTAAGATGGTACAATTTGTAATGACTTTTCAGACTGGGTTCATAGTGGACTAATGTGAAAAGGTGATGTCAAATTTTTTTTAATTATTTTATTATGTGGATCCTATTAATTCACTAATTATAGATCTTGAAAATGTATTTTAATTGATTTTTTTTTTTAAATGCATCCTACATATATCATGTATATCATTTATAACAAAGAAACATATCGGTTAGAAAAAAATAAAATCTGACATTGTCATGTTAGCCATCAAATTAATATTTGATATTTATATTTTGACATCTTCTTTAGAGATGCTCTTAGTTGTGTATGTAGGTGAAAAAGGACGATGCATGGAGTGGAATTAATACCAATTAGGTGAAAAAGGACGATGCATGGAGTGGAATTAATACCAATTTAGCTTTCAGTCTCGGGCGTTCGTAATCAATGTTTAACAAAAACAATGAAGGTTCCACAAAGTTAGGGTTTTGGGTTGTTGTTCTTCTTAGAGGGAAAAGATTCCTCTCTGGATTCTCTTTGTCAGGATATGGAGGATCAATCAATTATTGTCGTTCATCGTATATCGTATGGTCAGAAATCATTTAAAATTTAAAATTTAAAATTAAATATAAATAGTATTTAACGAAAACTGATCACATGATAACGGTCGTGGTTGATGGATTCCTTAGATCCCCGCAAACAAGATTTGAAAACGATCTTTTTCCTTCTTATAGTAAGTAGTCACTAGTCATTCGACGAAAATTTCAAAGTTGTACTCGTTTTTTTTGAAAGTCTTGCCGGTCCGGTTTCCCGCAGCATACCAAAAAACAAACGTGTGGGATCACAATAGGATTTGACGTGAGTCTCGTATGCATCGTGAAAATGTCTGAGGATCACGTACAATATTATGTGCCATTCCCAACTTTACTTAACAAAGTCCCAAAATTAGGTTTGCTAGGCCATCCCTATTTCCTGTAATTATAATCATGAGGAATTGACAATTAATCTTTTTTATTATCACTGATAAATTGTTGAAATTCTTGTGAAAATTCTTTTTAACGTTGTCCTTCACCTAACACTCAAAAATAATGTTCGAATAACTTTATTTTAAAATGGTATAAGTAGTAGTTTAATTAAATTAATCAATAAATTCAAAGAAAAAACTTAAAACCAATAAATTATTGATGGACTATGCTTAGCTCTTTCAGTTAAAAATGATATATGAATATGCTCTGATACTATTCGTTTAAAAAAAAAATTACACAACTATAATTCTGAACAAAACCATATTTAGCCATTTTGGTTGGAGATGATCTTAGTACCCAACTTTACTCATCATCTTCTGTCTAATTTGACTAATTTCAGTATTCCTACCGTGACTTTCAGTATTCCTACCATATCTCATATATTATCTTTAATAATCTCACAAGGGAGAGGGTACATAAACTAAAGGAAAAAAAAAAATAGAGTCATCAAAATGGAGCATTGAAACGTTTTTCTCAGTAGAAATGAAGGAACAAAGAAGAAAGAAAAATGATAATTGGTGTGTAACTGCATTGACTGAGTTTTAAAGTATATGTTATAACATTTCTATTGTTTCTTGAGATTTTGTTTTATTTTTTTCTTCAATGTCAAAATTTTCAATTTAACCCATTGAAATTTAGTTTTCATTACACTTTACTTGATTTTTGTCATGCCCACTTGTCATTGACCATGTCATACAAGCATAAGACCAACGCATTCAATCAGTACCACATAGAAGGTCAAAAAAAATTTAAAAAAAAAAAAAAAGAATCAGAAAACAAAAGTACGTATAAAAAAAATGGTATAATAGGATAACTAACATGTAAAAAAAAAAAAAAAAATTATTCAAAATAGTTCATGATGTCGATGCAAATTTTCGTCGTTTCTAGCGTTGACGAAAATGCACCTGCAAAACACTCAGCACCTTTGATTAAACCAATTCCTAACGTAGGCCGTTTATGCATCCAAAAACGCATTTTAAGTTCTGTAACAAAAATTGGACTTTGCGTTTCACATTCAATTATTGTTGTTGTTTGTTCAACGTACTCTTGACTCTCGAGCCTTTTCAAGACTAAAATTATAACTCATACATTATTCTTCAACACTAACATATCAAGCTTAAGCAGTCGCATATGCATTGGAGCATCCTAATCAAAAGAGCTTGACAAAACTAGAGTTCAGCATGGTTTAATCTCTAATTGTTTATACTCGATTTAACACTATCGCCCGGTATAATTAAGGCTGTTGGATGAAGAAAGTATTCCGGTCTTACACGTTAGATTTTGAGAGATTACTATTGTGATTTTGTCATGGTATTATTGCATTAGGATAAATCATGGCCTATGCCAGAAGATAGGCTGCTTAAGTTCAAATGAAGATCCCATGCAATCCTCTGGATACGGATTGTTTTCACTTGGTCGGTAAAGCTGGGATTAAAGATCCTTTGTTGTTTTATGGACTAATGTGACAAGGAACGTGAAAAAACTTTATCAGTTAAGGGATGCTGATTGTGATGAAGATGGTACAATTTGTAATGACTTTTCAGACTGGGTTCATAGTGGACTAATGTGAAACGGTGATGTCAAATTTTTTTTAATTATTTTATTGTAGTGGATCTCATTAATTCACCAATTATAGATCTTGAAAATGTATTTTAATTGATTTTTTTTAAATGGATCCTACAGATATCATTTATAACAAATAAACATATCGGTTGGAAAAAAAGAAAATCTGACATTATCACGTCATCTATCAAATTAACATTTGACTTTTATATTTTGATATCTCTTTTAGAGATGCTTTTATCTGTGTATGTAGGTGAAAAAGGAAGATGCATGGAGTGGAATTAATACCAATTTTGCTTTAGTCTCGGGGGTCGTAATCAATGTTTAACAAAAACAATGAAAGTTCCACAAAGCTAGGGTTTTGGGTTGTTGTTCTTCTTAGAGGGAAAAGATTCTTCTCTAGATTCCTTTTGTTAGAATCTTGATGATCAATCAATCACTGTCGTTCATCGTACATCATACGATCAAAAATCATTCAAAATTTAATATAAATAGTATTAACGAAAACTGATCACATGATAACGGTCATGATTAATGGATTCCTTGGATTTCCGCAAAGAAGATTCGAAAATGATCATTTTCTTTCTTATAGTAAGTAGTCACTAATCATTCGATAAAAAGAAAGAAGAAAAAAACGAAAATTTCAAAGTTGTACTCGTTTTTTTGGAAAGTCTAGCCGGTCTGGTTTCCCGCAGCATACCCAACACTACAACAAAAATGGTCACTGCGCACAATAAATTATCTGTGCCCTTTGAGGCCAAAGAGCACCAACATATGTGTCCATAGACCAATAGCAACAGTGCAGCTACTATCTTAGAGTTTGTGCCCTCTATGGGCGTCACCATTGCTAAAAAGGCACAATAATGTATGTTGTGCTGACAAACCTAAGCACAAATAAAGGTCTTTTTGTGCCCAGTTCTGACAAAATTGTCAGATGGCTGCAGCCACCCCTGGTAGCACATTTATTGTTATTGTGCCCAATATGTCACCTATTTAAAAAAAATATTAAAAACCGAAATCACCTGCAAATTGAGATTGAGGCTAAACAAAAAATTATTTTTTCATATAATTAAAACATCCCACAACCACAAGCATCTATAATATTACAATTTACAGGGATATTCACAACCATTGTATATAAAAACAACTAGAATTTTACAAGTTCTATCCCCAACTAAAATAAAACTAAAACTAAAATTATAAAGGTTTTAAGTGAATATCGGTTCTCTCAGGAATAAGAACATCAAATATTAAGGTTTTAAGTGAACCCGCACAGTTCTTTTCTCATGTTCGAGTCGGCAACCTGGTCAGGGTGGCTTTGGTGGTTGATGGGTTTCGATGTGGCCATCGCGTATAGAGAGGGTAAAAAAATGATTGCCTGCTTCTGAACAACTGGGTTGTTTTGAATGGCCCCGCCAAGTACCCCAAGCATCCATTTTTCTTGTACCTGCATCACCATGATCAAGCTCTCCTATAATCGCAGCAACTCCCCCATTCAAATCTGACCCTAAATCATAAATAAAATAAAATAAAATTCAACATAAAAAGAAAAGGTCAGTACGTATGATTCGAGTTCACGTTGCTCAGGGTCACCGACGCTGTTAAGTTTATTCATCATTGCTCGATCACTCTTGTTAATTTTCTTTTTCGTTTGGTTTGGTTTCGGCTTTTCTTTAACAGCGTAGGCACACAAAACCAATCAAATTCATTCACCTACGTAAGCCACAAAAGCATGAATATTTTGTTTCAAATTTCAATCCCAAAAAACAGAACCAATCAAATTCATTCACCAATTGATGCACACAGCACACAACTTTGTAACTCAATCCCTATTATTGCACACAAATTCTTGACTTTTAACACAAAGCCCACCTCCAATTCCACATAGCAAAAGCCGGGCAATCAATAATTTCAATCCTAACTAAAACTTTTAACACAATTATAACCGAAACAACTCTAATCACTTTACCAAAAAAAAGAATGGATAGAAAGTGGATGTACCTGTAATACGAAACTGGCTGAAGTGAAGAACACAAAGATTTGTGCTTTGCTGCTCAAATTTGTAGAGTGAGAGAAAGTACCCAGAACCAAAATCATATTAGGGTTGAGAAATTGGAATTTATTAGAATTAGGGATTCATTAATACACCTATGCCTCAGCCCAATTTTATTTTTTTTCATTTGGCCTAAAATCGAAAGAACCAAAAACTTCAAGTTAAAAAATTAGAGAAATAAATCTGAAATTTTAGAGAGACAAAGTGAGGAGAGAGAAATAGGCGGAGGACCTTGGGCGAGGAGTCCATTGACGGCTTCGTTGGGGAGGACCTGAGCGCAGTTTTTCACAATCTCCTTTAAGCTTTGCACCAAAAACTAAAAGCAACATATCATGATTGAAGAACACAGCAGCTGAAGAGCACTGCCGCAGTTCCATCAACATCAAGTAACACGACCAGTACGGCAAAGCAAGAGGGAAATATGGAGTCCTCACCTCAGGCTCGTGTGAAGAAGCAGAGCTGGAGGACGCCGCCGCAGTTCGAGGTGGAGCTGGACGGGTTCAACAGCTCTAAGACTATCGTGTCTCGTTAGCTACAGCAAGTTAAGGTAGGTGGAAAAAGGATAAGAATGGCGACGGAGGCGATAGAAGGGAATCGGCAGCGAGATGAGGATAGGACGGAGGCGAGACCGTTTGTGTCGTGCGTCACCGAGAGAAACAATCGGCTTCATCACCAGCTCGGGCCTCATCACCCATCGACGCCACTGCTACTTCTCTCTTCGCCGACCCGTACGCCGCTCTCATACCTGCAAAACACACAAAACCCGAACAAAATCATATGTTTCTTAGATCTGAAATTGAAGAAATTTGGCTATGAATTTGTAGAAACTAACTTGAGGATCGGAAAGATGATGGGAAGAGGATTATGAAGGTATAATTCGACGGTCTGTGGTGACAAGTGGAAGGCGGCGCTGTTGCCTGAAATATATGGACAGGAAGGATACGGAAAGGAGAGTGAAGGGGAAGGAAGAGACAGGATGAAGGGATGAGAGAGAAGACTAATAACCTTCTTTCATCTTCAAGTTTTTTATATTTTTTTATTGTTGTTTTGCACAAAAGGCACAATTATTTTTATACGTGCCGTTTGAAATCTAAAAAGTATGTAGTGCAAATAATTCAAAATGTACGTTTGAGGGTGGTATTCTTATTTTATTTAAAACAAAAGGCACGAAAATATTAGTGTGTCAGTTTGAAATTAATAAACAATCTTATTATTGTGGAATAGGAAAAAGTATATATGTAAAGGACACAAAAAAACATACTTTTTATTTAAATATATTAAATTAGAGGGCACGAAAGCTGCTATCGTGTCTTTGTAAATTAATATAAAATTTTCATTTCTGATATTGAAGGGACACGTCAAAGTTGGATGGACATTTGGGCACAAAAGTCTTGATTTTCGTGCCCAATAATGTGTTTGTGTCAACTTTTTTAACATTTGGGCACAAATCACAATACTTGGTGCCCTTTATAAAATGTGCACTGTTCCACTCTTTTAGTGTTCAGAGGGACACAAACCCCTTATCTGTGTCCTCAATTTTGTATCCATAGCCCATTTTTCTTGTAGTGCAAAAACAAACGTGTGGGATCACAATAGGATTTGACGTGAGTCTCGTATGCATCGTGAAAATGTCTGAGGATCACGTACAGTCCCATCAATATTACGTGCCATTCCCAACTTTACTTAACAAAGTCCCAAAATTAGGTTTGCTAGGCCATCCCTATTTCCTGTAATTATAATCATGAGGAATTAACAATTAATCTTTTTTATTATTACTGATAAATTGTTGAAATTCTTGTCAAAATTCTTTTTAAGGTTGTCCTTCACCAAACACTCAAAAATAATGTTTGAATAACTTTATTTTAAAATGGTATAAGTAGTAGTTTAATTAAATTAATCAATAAATTGAAAGAAAAAAAATTTAAAACTAATAAATTATTGATGGACTATGCTTAGCTTTTTCAGTTAAAAATGGTATATGAATATGCTCTGATACTATTTATTTAAAAAAAAAAATTACACAACTATAATTCTGGATGGAACCATATTTAGCCATTTTGGTTGAAAATGACCTTAGTAGTTAGTACCCAACTTTACTCATCATCTTCTGTCTAATTTGACTAATTTCAGTATTCCTACCATATCTCATGTATTATCCTTTCAGCTAAAAGAACAAAAGGGGAATCTGCTGATGAACAACCACCCTAGCTAACTTGCTAACGAAAGTGCTAATGATCTTCCGTCTTTAATAATCTCGCAAGGGAGAGTGCACATAAACTAAAGGAAAAAAAAAAATAGAGTCGTCAAAATGGAGCATTGAAACGTTTTTCTCAGTAGAAATGAAGGAAGAAAGAAGAAAGAAAAATGATAATTGGCATTCAATCAGTACCGCATGGGTCAAAAAAAAGAAAAAAGAACAAAGAATAAGGAAAAAAAAAAGAATATCTCTTGTAGCCAGCGCTTTAGGAAAAAAAAAAAGAATAAGAAAACAAAAGTACGCATAAAAAAAATGGTATAATAGGATAACTAACATGTAACAAATTTTTTTTTTATTCAAAATGGTTCTTGATGTCGATGCAAATTTTCGTTGTTTCTAGTTTGGACGAAAATGCATCTGCAAAACACTCAGCACCTTTAATCAAAGACCTAGGTCTCATGCGCATGAATCTCTTATGCCTAAGTTAGTTTCTCTAAAAAGAGTAATTATTTAGGGCTTTTAGGGGCATCAAAAGCTTACTGAAATTTGGTAGAGATGGAGGAATTTATAGGAGGAAGTGCCGGCAATGGTGTTAGGGTTTTATCATACACATGACGACATCCTATTGGCCAAGGTTTATGGAGAGAATATTCTCAAGATATTAAATAGGAAATAATATCTTGAGATAATGGTGTAAATATCCCTAATTGATTTAAAGAGGGAATACTTACTTGAATGGAGTCAATCTTCAATTGGGAATATATTAAAGATAGAATTTGGGTAATTAATCATTATCCTTAATACTTTGACTTTTCCTTGTCATGGGCAGGTAAGCTGCGGACAGTCATATACAATTGCTTGGACCTTCAGGGGTGCTGAACTGTGCTTGAGTTTCTGAGAAGCTTGCCTATTTAATGAGGGAAATATTGTCTTTCTTGAGCAAAAGTTCACATGTCACCTCTAGGATTTCTGGGATTATTTTAGGTTCCACACAACTCCTCATTTTGGTCCCTGAGATTTGAAATCAATAGAATTGGTCATTGAGTTTGTCCACCATCAATCATTTTGGTAATTTCGTGAAAAATCTCCACTAAATAAGGATAAAATGACAAAAATACCCTCAAATTTTGTCAAATCATTTTGGCTTATTGTTTATTAAATTGAGGGTAATTTTGTCATTTTAATCTTTATTTAACAAAACTATTCATAGAAAAAAAAAAGATTGATGGTGGACAATCTCAGAGACCAATTGTATTGATTTCAAATCTAAATAACCAAATGAGAAGTTATGCAAATCTTAGAGATTATTTTGGCTAAATTTCCTTAAAAAATGTATAAAAAATAGTTTGGTCATAATTAGGTGGTGTTGAGTGCTGCTGTCGAACTCACTAAATTATATTCAACAAAAACAATTCTCTAAATAATACATAATTAACGAACTACGTAATCGTGTACATGAACCTTAATGTAGATAATGTCGTTTATTAAAAAAAAAAAATTCTATTTTGTTAGAAATTTTTTACCAAAAAACATAAAGAAATAGATATAGTTGAGATCCCCACAAGTTTGCCAAACCAAAAGGTTGTAGATCTGACTTCTGAGCGTATTTCATTTATTTATCTTTTTTCAGTAATTTGGGCAGATGTGCTTGGAAGCTTCCTTCAATATTGATGGTGTCCGAAACAAGCTTTTGCCGAATAGCACTATTTTCGCGTTCTGTACACTGCATTTGAACTTTCAAGCATATTTGGTTCTTTCTTAGATCCCGATCGAGTTCCCGACCCCACCCCTCTACTTTTGCAAATAGAAAGAAGAAGAAAAGATTGAAAGGTTACAAAATGTCTGAGCCGCCCATGTTGGTTTAAATTAATACTCTAGTCCCTTTGTTGTTATATAAATAGTTTGGAACATTATTAACCAAATTTTGTGTACTTTAGAAAGTTCAAATTTCAACTTTGTTCATTGATGATGCAATATATGGAGGACAGGAGGAGGCCTGCAGGAGGATAGAGTAAGAAAATAAGAATGAAAAACAATAAGACTACTAAATGGTCCTTGTCAGTAGATCGTCGCTCTAATAGGATAAAGGAGTATACACTTTAGTGCAAAAATTTTTTTTGCATCAGACAGTGATCAGATGAGGTGGATTGTCTGATCTATCTTCAAAGGAAATTAAAACACCTATCTATATTTAGATGTTACTGTGATTTGTTTAGGTTGAAACTCCAATATAAGAGTTATATTCTATTATAAGTTAGTAGAACAATCCACCTAATCCCGTTGTTGATGAACATAAGACTTTGCAAGTTTCTCCCCTTCATGAGGGTTAACTTGAAATGAAATTGAGGTTCCATTATAAAACCAAATGGCAGTATAGAAAATAGTCTAACCTCTTATAAGCTCTAGCAAGGTCTTTGATTTCACCAATGTAAGAATCTTTTACCTTTCACATCCTCACACGCCATCTCGCGTGTGGCAAATTTTTAAGTCTAATAAATGAACAACACAAAAGGAGTAAGATGAAGCATGTGTGGGCGTTGAGCTTCACACGTGGGCCAACCTACTCTGATACCATAAAAACTTGAGATTTCACTATAAAATCAATTGCCATATGGGAGTATAGCCGAACTAATATGAGAGAAAAAGGCGTGCGGTACATATGATGGTGGAGTGATCGCTTTGAGCCCTAAACACAAATTTTGACAGGAAGATGTTCCTCCATCTTATGTTTCAAGAAATTCGTTACCTCAAGCTTTATGGTCAAATCAAGATTAGGCGGTGAGAAAAGTGTCCCCAAATTGTCTAAATGCATGACAGAATCATAGATTGTAGGATGCTTAATCTTAATTATTGAACTCTCTGCCCTTGAACTTTAAGTATATTTGATTCTTTCTTGGACCACCGACACAGATACTCAGGACTCCACACACGAAAGAAAACTTGAATAACTAGCCACGATTGATTTTCATGGCAATTATGTAAGACATATTCTAAAATCACAACAACAAGACGTTAAGATTACAAATAAATCAAATCAATATGAAATAGAGATCGACTAATTATATTGAACTTATCTGTAGAATTCGAAAGATATGATTATGAAGATGAAGCCATTGATGAACTCTAGGTTGTCTTCTCCTTCCAATACTCCAAAATATCCCTCTACTATATGAATAGGTTTTAGTATTATGAGGAATTCAACGTATGGAAGCAGGAACTTAACCTAGTATTTATATACCATTAGGGTTCCTTATTAGCCGGCCTATTAATAGCTAAGAAAGTCAACCCTATCACCTTGATTGAGTCCTATCATGAAGCAATATCTTTGTATTTGAATCTCTAGATGATTCTCCTAGATTAGCTGCAATGACTTAAGACTCCACAATTCTTACCTAACTAAGACTCTTAATTTACTCGAATTGCACATCACTGAATAATCAAGTGATTTGTTCCTCAAGTAAACCAATTGTCACACATTGCCATTCACAGAACTTTACAAATTATAAATAGGAGAAATTTTCAGTGTGACCGTACATCAAGTGTCATAATACAAATGGTTGAAATTTTTTTTTTTCAAATATTCAACCACTTGTATTATGAGACTAATTGGTGTATCGAACCATGTTCTACACACTGAACAATCTCTCTATAAATTGAGAGATCAAGAGGAGCGAAAAACATCTCATTTTCTCTATTCGCCTTCTACTTCTTTGGGAGTTGATTAGATATACAGAAATATGGAATTTTCTAAATTTCTGTCCTCCCTTGCGACCTCGTCTTGTACTCCTCCAATTGCTCTGAAAAACCCTAGTTCTAAAAAATGGAGCATCCCCGAAGATCACAGCTTGCTTTCTACTCCCTTAAAACCACTTAACTCCAAAACGAAGTATACTTCATCTAAGGTAAGAAAAATCCTCTCTTTCTCACACAAACACACACACACATCTAAGGTAAGAAAAATGGAGCATCCTTGTGCGCAGGATGGCATAATTTGTTTCCAGCATGAACAAAAATTGGACGACTTAAGGCATGCATTAAAAAAAGTGGGAGGACAAGCAGTTGTAGGTTTGGACATGATCGATGCAGTTCAACGTCTAGGTATAGACTACCACTTTGAAGATGAAATTGACCAAATTCTCCAAAAGCAACATATAATATCTAGTACTACTGCTCACGGTGCTCATGATCCCACCGACCTGCACGAAGTTGCTCTCCGCTTTCGACTACTCAGGCAGCATGGTTACTTCGTCTCTGATGGTGAGTACCATCTATATATAATTCAATATTGTAGGTTGGTATTCGGTACTAGTAAATTAGCTCAACCCACACTCGTATAATTTCAATATGTGATAACTAGCTAATCCAAAATTTGTGTTTATCATGTGAATATAGATGTGTTTAACAATTTCAAGGAAAGAGAAGGAAATTTCAATCAAATGTTAAGTGCAGACATCAAGGGGTTGATGAGTCTGTATGAAGCTTCACAGCTAAGTATAGAGGGTGAAGTTGTACTTGAAGAAGCTGGAAAGTTTAGTGGCCATTTCCTAAATTCATCCCTGTTACATCTCGACCATCACCAGGCCAGAGTTGTTGAAAACACATTGAGAAATGCTCATCACAAAAGCTTGGCCCCATTCATGGCCAAGAACTTTTTTGTCTCTGGTTTCCAAGGAACATACAATAGGTGGTTAAATATATTACAAACTGTAGCAAAAACAGATTTATATATGGTCCAGTCCCTTCACCAGAAGGAAGTTGTTCAAGTTTCCAAGTAAGTTAATAACTTTATTGGAAAATACCACCCTAATCTTTAATTGTTGTCTCTACATCTAATTCATTAACCAATTATTAATCAATGTTAACTTATTTGTTTCAATTAACTTAATTAGATGGTGGGAAGAGCTGGGATTGTCTAAGGAGTTGAAGTTTGCAAGAGACCAACCTATTAAATGGTACAATTGGTCCATGGCAGGCCTAACAAACCCAAACTTGTCAGATGAGATGATTGAGTTCACAAAATCTGTATCATTTATCTATTTGATTGATGACATTTTTGATGTTTACGGGACGCTTGATGATCTCATTCTCTTCACGGAGGTTGTTAATAGGTAATAACAACTTAATTAACTTCACCAATTTTTACAGTTAACTGACCAGTAAATCGTTATGCTGCAGATGGGAAATTGGTGCTATAGAACACTTACCGGACTACATGAAGATATGCTTCAAAGCTCTTTATGATATGACGGATGAAATCAGCTGTAAGGTTTATGAAAAGCACGGATGGAACCCGTTGCATTCCCTAAAGAAGACGGTATATATACAAACCGTAGTATTGGCTTATTATTAAGTATATTTATCTAACTGGTTTAGTGTCGTGACAATTAAGTACTAGCATAATTAAGAAAGGCTTAATTAACAGATTGTTCATTCTATTTGCATGCATGCATGCAGTGGGCGAGTCTGTGCAATGCATTTTTAGTGGAAGCAAAATGGTTCAAATCCGGGCACTTGCCTAGGGCTGAAGAGTACTTGAAGAATGGAATTATTTCTTCTGGGGTGAATGTGATGTTGGTCCACATTTTCTTTCTCATGGGTGAAGGTATAACCAAACAAAGTGTGGAGCGCTTGAATGGCACTCCAGCCATTATATCTTCAACAGCAGCAATTCTTCGGCTTTGGGACGACTTGGGAAGTGCCAAGGTAACTACATATTTATAGCACCATTTATATCAAGCACCATAGTAACTAAATGCATATTCATCCCTGCATCTAAGGTTCTATATTATGTGTGGCGGATGTCTTAGCCGGCTCCATCACACAAATATTTGTCCATCAAAATTTGTAGCATGCATGTATGCACATAGAACATGTCAGATTTTCTTATCGTGATTCTAATTGTAGGATGAGAATCAAGATGGGGACAACGGGTCATACATAAACTACTATTTAAATGAACATCAAGGCAAAACCATGGAGGAAGCACAAGAACATGTTACGAATATGATTTCACAAGAATGGAAGAAACTGAACAAAGTATTGGTGTCTCCTAATCCATTTCCAGCAGCATTCACAAAGGCTTCCCTAAATCTTGCAAGAATGGTGCCATTAATGTATAGTTACGACAACAACCAGCGCCTTCCATATCTTGACGAGTACGTGGAATCGATGCTTCATGCATGAAGTTGATTTGATTCCGATTTCATACGTGCAATGGGTCCAAATAAAAATACCATAGTATATTATCTTATGGAGGTATAGAGTAAAAACAAGAAATAAACAATTAGAACATAAGTGCAAGGCACATGAATTGCTACCGCAAGAGAGAATGTAAAAATAAGAAATCTTAATTTGATGCTCCTGTAGTATTTTATTTTCTGAAGAAACGAAATATCCTAGTTCTTTTCTCCCTAAAGAAAATATCCTAATTGTTGAATGGCCGAGATTTTTTACCAAACTTATTACCAACTGAACTTTTATGTCAGTTAAATTTTGACTATTCAACTAAAATTGATTGACTGGATGAAAAGATACAAGATTATATCAACTATGTACATATTAAGTGAGACATTAATTCTTTGATATCAAATTCATACTCTTAACATAATCAACCAGCTGGATCATGACTAGCTTATCCTCATGAATTTGGGGCAAATATCTTGTGGCCCCAACATTCAGTAGTTTTATGGAGAGATTCTCTCCAAAACTAACGCACACTTTAGGTGGCCATACGCTCAGAAATTACTCCAATTATCTACTAATTGTTTCGTCAGTCACATGTAGGGTCGGTCTAGAGGTTTTTTAGGTCCGGGGCAATATAAAAAAATGTGCCCTAACTTCATATAAGAAAATTATTTATTTTCACACGTAAGACATCGATAAAATTATACTTATAAAAGCAGTTCAAACTTAATAATTTAGAAACACAGAAAGACTAATATATTTTGTATCCAGAGAAGGAAACCAAAAAATTCCGAGCTTACATATAGATAGACGATAAGTTTTGTTTTCCATCTGAACTTTTGAAGTGTTTTTGTAGAAATCATGAGGTGTTTTTTCTTATTTATTAACCTTGTCAATATGAGACTAAAAAAATAATGATGTTTTTGAGTCTTTAATTAGTATGTATAAGTAATAAATGGGCACTAAATGAAACTTTTGATAACACGTCATATGATTTGCAAATTTGCTCCAAAAATTTGGTCTACGTATTACTCTTTGTAGAAGATTAGACTTGAATTCAAACGAATATTTAGAAATAGCAACCCACATAGCTACTAGCTAGTAACTAAAAATAAATTAACAACCAAACAAATATTCGTAAAAATTGAAAAGAATAAACACGCATATAGCATTTCGAACTTAGGAAATCTTGTTAATTTTAAACAACAAAAATCATTGCTTCTAATTAAACTTCTTGATCATTTAACCAAATTTTATAAATTTATTCTCTTATGAAAAAAAAAATTGTAAAAATTGGAAAGTAAATAAGCACATGTAGTGTTTTGAACTCAAGACCTCTTCATTATTTTCAAACGACAAAACCACGACTTCTAGTTAAATTTCTTTGTCATTGAACCAAATTTTATAAATTTATACTCTTATAAAAACTTATATAAATATACCACCCTAATAATTTTGATGCCCCAAACTTTTTTTAGCCCCAGACGGTCCCCCTACCAGCACTGGACCTAGGCCAGGCCTGGTCACGTGATTGGTTACAACACTTGATTTATTAAACTGAGCTTTTTACCTACAATGCAAATTTCTTGTGTGACCATTACGAAAAACATTTGGAGATATTTCTATTATGGTACAAATACCGCGAAGGTATTTATTAAATGGCCTTATAAAATAAGTGTACTCTACGGTCTACAAGAAAGGAATATAGTCTGCCCTAACAAACCTTCATTGTACCCAAAAAAAAAAAAAAAAACAAACCTTCATTCGTTTATGTACTTTTTTTCCAGTCAATAAGACCAACATGTATGACATGCATGAACATATTCAAACACAAAAACAACAGTCGCGATTTTTGCATACCATTTTCCTCCCTATCCACTCCTACCTTGAAATCGAGAGTTGGAAAAAGAAGAAGAGAGCGTAGAAGAAGAAAATGAGAACGTAAAAATCACTTCCCAAAAGCAAAACACACACATATATGCATTGCTGTTGAAGCTGCTTCTTGTTCCTCTCTTTAATCTCATCCATTGATTAAATTTAACGACCAAGATTATTTCAGTAAACATATAATTCGAAGGACTAAACTGAATGGCTAGAACATCTCTCTCTCTCTCTAAACAATCGTGATAAATTTATCTTGCATTCCTCTCCCTCACACGCAATGGAATGATACCCTTGTGAGGGCCATCTATATAATTTCATAACAGAAACTACTCTCTCCCACTTGTTTAAACTAACTTTGATCCAAAATATATCAAGAAATATGGACTCTGTGAGTTGTGTGTTGGATGAATTATGCTTAGTAGAAGGAGGCAGCCGAGGGGGAAGGATGGGTCGAAGGAGACACAACAATGGTGGCGAATTCAAATCCAAAAATCTCGTTGCTGAGAGGAAGAGAAGGGAGAAGCTCAGTGGAAGGCTCCTTGCACTACGCGCATTGGTCCCGAATATCACAAATGCAAGTCCTCAAAGCCTCCCTTAAATTTTTCCAGTTTCCATTATTAACACGAGAGTATCTCAACTATGGTTTTTCGTGTTTCAGATGAACAAAGCAACCATTGTTGAGGATGCCATCACTTACATCCAGGAGCTGCAGCAGAAAGTAGACTTCCTCAAAGACCAGCTTTTTGAGATGGAAGCATCATCAGAAGAAACACTGCAGCCGAACAAAGAAGAAACTCATGCTGCAGAAGAGATGAAGAAATTCGGGATTCAGGTTTTGACAACCAGCTAACAACTCATCATATTCAATCTCTTTGAAACAATATAGGAGTTTTTTTTTTTTCTGCTCATATATTTCAATGTTGTTGCTGGTATGGGCAGACAGAGGTGAATGTGACTAAGATTGATGGGAACAAACTTTGGGTGAAGACAGTCCTCGAGAAGAAACGAGGCGGGTTCACAAAACTGATGGAAGCCATGACCGGCTTTGGCTTCGAACTCACTGACACCAGCGTCACTACCTCCAACGGAGTAATGATGGTTTCATCCTGTATAACGGTACGTCACGGTAAAAACAAAGAAAGCTCTGAAATTCTACCTGCACCAGAAGTTAATATAAATTCTAATGAATTTCAGGGATTCTGCTGTGATAAGCTCGAAGTTGAGCAAACCCGGGAATTGATGCTGGAGATCATCAATGGCATATAGCAAAAGGGAAGGATCGGATCATACAAACATATTCAATTACAACACAACACAACACAACACAAACAACTTGAAAAAAAAAAACAGAGTTTTCTGTTTTGATTTCTTGTTAATTTCACCTGGCATATGGCAATCCACAAAGTTATTACAGTCATGTTTTATCTGAGTGATATTCTAGTTTAATTTAAATAAAGGCATTTGATTAAAGAAATGGAAAGTTGTTTGGCTAGCTTGGCAACATAAAAGAACAAAAGGGGCTGCACCATCCCACAAACGTGTCAATGAACAAAAATCACAAGCAAGAAAAAGCCACAAGACAGCTAACCAATATTCCAATATTGCAGGCTTAGGGATAGGAACCAAGCAGCTAAAGGGCAACCCAAGCCAACAAAGCTCCTTGCATTGCGAGGACTAAGACAAAAATATATAAAACCAGAAAATTTCCAATTGAGCAAACTTCCAAAATTGCACCATTTGATTCAAAATCTTACACTCACTTTTGCTTTCCTTTGTTTTTTTTACAATCCTAACAAGCTTCTATGAACATTCAATCTTTTTTGCTCAAAATTAAGAGAGAAAAATACCCAAAAACCAAAAAAGGAGAAAAATTATCCAAGTGACAAAAGATCAAATCTTCATCTCTGGGCCTGAAATCCAATCTTCCTTCCTCCTTCACTCTTCAATGAAATGCCTGCATTCCATGATTCTAATATCAATTTTACCAACCCTTAATGCTAAAAATTGCAATAATGCAACGATTTTCACACAACCATTTTCTCATCCAGCGCTCCCTTCTAAGATTTATTCAAACGCCACATAAAATCCAGGATGTACATTGGAGAAAAAGCGCGTGCGGAACTCACTTCTTTTCACTAATACATTGGATCAAAATATCAAATAGACAAAAGGCGCGACCCCAAATTAACCAAGCTCCCTACTTTACAAAGGTCGGGAGAAACGTGTATCGCACTCAACTTTACTCTTGTTTTGTAAAGAGATTATTCTCATGACTCAAGATCACAGAGGAACAATCTTTCCGCTGCCTAAGGCTCAAATAGACAATTGGAATTTAATTGTGGAGAATAAAAATTCCCAAATTTACATTTCATTTCAAAGATTAGTACAAGTCTACTGAATTTGTAGAGAGAAAAGAGAATAAAAAGATGGGATTTTTTTAGTACCTTGAGATTGAGGCTTGCAGACAGGGGGGTCTTCAAATAGAGAGAGAGAAAGCTGCTTATGGGCAACACCAATGTCAAACAAAATCAACCCAGAAGACGGATCGCTCACTGAGATTCCCTTCACCGGCAGCCAAAGAAAAAGCTCCTCCTGAGTCAAACCCTCCAAGCCTCTGAGCACGCCATAGCTGAGATTAGCTCTGACTATGCTCTCAAAGTAGACTCTTGTCTCGAACTTGGTCATGCAAGAACGGTCCAGATGCACCTCCAGGTGGCCCATCTGATCGAGATTGTAGGACTTCACATTGTCCGGGAAGAGCCCGGCAGGAAGGCCTTGGCTTTGGAGGAGGTTGTGGAGGGTTAAGGTGGCGGTGGGAGGAAGAAGGAGAAGGAGAAGGATACAGAGAGTGAGCAAAGATACTGGTGTCAGAGACATTGTGTGAAGGAAGGACAGACAAAAGCTGAATGTCTGAGGTTTCAAGGAGGGTTTTATTTGAGGTTTCGTTTTGGGAAAAGCTAACATGAGAAGATATTAGTATATAAGTTGGAAAAAAGAGTACATTTATTTAAAAATAATTACACATAGAGTCAAATTACAAGACTATATTTGGAAGAGAGACATAGTTTTTTATTTATTTCATAAAGAAACAAAATTTATTCACGTGACAGATGATGTCATAGTTGTTTTTTTAATTATCTTTGCATATACAATTCACTCATATATGTGAGTTGTTATCTTCTCATTTTTTTCTTGCCTCTTTCTCTCTCCTCCTTCTTCTTGAATTTACTTTTTATTTCATTTATGGGTACGATTGAGACTTTTTATTTTTTATTTTATTTTAGTATTTCTTTTTAAAGTATTTGATTTTTCAAGTTAGTTTTGACCAAAAAAATACTGGAGGTCTACCGTGGAGAGGTACTCAAATGAAACCAGTGATCGATTTCTAGGTATTTTGATTAAGCGAAGCAACTTAGTTGTGGATTGGAACTGAATGAGAAGGGTAATTGCTTCAGTTCAGAATGCCCGAAGGGTATTGATAAATACAAAAGTTTTGCTTACAGCAGAAAACAGCATAACACTTTGCCTACTTGTACAGTCAGTGATGCTATTCGTTTTGTTGGATTTATATATTATATATCAGGACTATATAACTTTATCCATTTAGGATTAACCCCTACTCAGTCAGCATTTTCCCTACTGTTCAAGTTCGTTTTCTTAAGTAAATCAGTGAAAATGGGTGTATTAAAATGATATTTCCGTACATAAACAGATAAACTTCATTATTCTTGGCAAATATTTAAGGAAGATGATTTTGTTGATGCATCAGGCAGCATAATCAAGTCTATTAACCATCAAATCTAAGGTTTGCTTTCTTAAAGAGCTTTATCATTGTGCCTTCATGAGGCAGACAAATTCATTCGATGATTTTGATTCATGCCAATGGTCCTTTCCTAAGTTAATTTGTCCACTGATGCCACCTGCTGTGTTATCGCCTTAACAAAAAGCAATCAATAGCATGTGGGTTAGATTAGTTGGTTAGAGTAATGTGTTTGTCACTTAAAATTAGGTTTAGATCAATTAGTTAGCACAATATATCCGTCCCCTTATAACAACAATTTATACCAAGTTTTTCTTTTTTTTTTTGAACAATTTATACCAAGTATTGATTAAGAAGGTTTTGTCCAACATAATTATTCATCCGTACAAAGTTACAATCAAAGCCTCTGACTTGAAAAAGTTGTGGACAACCACGAGCCAGAGTTCTTACAATCTCCAAAACCTTCAATTTACCCATCAGTAAATCCTCCTCATGCTCAACCCTGCCTATTGTAAATAGTTGCTTCCATCATCCCTTATTTCTCCATACGAATTTGGGCTTCCGAAAAGACAATCTGCAGTTCCGTTCCATGTATTTCCCTATCTTCCTTCATCACTACCAAATTCATAGCAACAATCACCATTTCCATTGCCTCTCTTGAAAGCACGAGCAAGGCAAGGCCAGTACCCAAACAAACTCTCACAAATATCCATGGCTTCCAATCCATACCCACTAGGAACTTGATTATACACTTCCTTCTCATGCTCATAACTACCCTGCACAACTTCTTCACTTTTCTCAACTTGATTAGGGTTTTCTTCTACTCAATTATGGTTTTCATCTACTTGGCTTGGCTGATCTTCTATCCTCTCTTGGTGCTGCTTCTCTTCTTCAACCACCCATATCAGTTCACTTCCATTTATGGGTTTTGGTGCTTGCTCAGCAGTTTCTTGCTTACCACTCAACGGCACGATAGAGCCATCAGTGACGCCATCGGAAGAGGAGGGATTTAAGGCAGCAGGCCCAGAAGAACGTGGATAACAAGTTTCAAGTGAAGGCAAAAGGGGCTTTCCGTAGGTTTTTGGGTGATATCAAATCCACCATCATAAGTTGTAGGATCATATTCTTCAAATTCGGGCTCATTAAACTCGAAAGAAATGGAATAAAAGATCATAAACTGAGTCACTTCATTATCATAACTCGGGTTATAAACATTTGGGTTGTAATAGTGGAAAGAGGTTTGGTGTAAGAATTATGACAAGCATGATAGTATTGAGATGGAGTTGTATCATACAGAAAGAAATTTTGGGTAGGGGGCTCATAGCTAGAATAATTATAAGATATTGGTCCCTGATCTAGAGAAGCATGATGATCATGAGTATCAGCATAAGGGTTAACTTATACTCACCAAGATCACCAGCCTCATAGTAGTTGGAGCTGTAGAATTCCATCTATGAATCAACCGACATGATTCATAGACGATTTTATCTCCTTTCTGTTAGATTCCAGATGTTCTAGGATTGGTATTTTCCACAACGTCAGAGGAATTACATTGAATTCTATAACATCAAAATGGACCCTAATTTACAACTGCCTGTGATTCCTATATATCTCTCTATCTTCTAACTAAATTCCCATACACACAAATCTATCCAGTTGGGAAGAAAATGTGTGCCTCACCAACTCATGTGCAAGAAATAGGAAAGGTGGGTTCGCTAAATGTCAACACATATAACAGACTGATGAGAGGCCAAAGGATTAAGCATTTCATAAACATGTGATTGGAGAGAATTACCTTTGCCAGAAAGTGGATTGAGATGTTTCTGAAAAGGAATCCTGAGAAATTTCGCTTGAAAGATGATGAGATTCAAAAAAATTTCTGCGCTTTTTGTATTTTTTTGGTTGCCTAATTTCCTTTGCTTAGTAAGATGGTAGTTGTATAAATCATGGCAGCATGTACAGATTGCAGAAAAATTTGGCACTTTAGACACTACTTGTGTTTAGCGTTTGACACCGAAACCCTTGGATTGGATGATGGCATGGTTGCCAGAATAATAGCAAGTGCAATTAATTAGGGAACGACTTACTAGTTTTGATTCAATTTTTAGTTCATTCAAAATTAGCTATTTGTTTAGTAATACTTCTATCTCAAAATTTAAGGAAGTCCAAGTTCAAATTTCACCTTTGAGAATAACAAACAAGAAAATGTGCCAGTCATACATTAAAGAGGTAGATGCAAAGTTTTCCTATCTTCTCACAATGATGTCATTTGAACTATCATCCGCATGTTGTTTAGCCAACCACGCTTTTCTGGATTTTTAGATTAGGGTTAATTATGTTCATACATGATTCATCGCAAAACACTTACAGAATAGCCTCACAATGGGCTTAACAATAATGTGGTTCAAATTTGCCTTTGACAATAATCAAATCTAAGATCTCTCACTTACAGAATGTTTACTAACTTAAATTAGGAAAAGTGATAGAGAGGTGGAGATGTCAAAGATTATGGGAGACTCATGTATTGGATTAAAAAAGTAATGTGAGCCTTAGCATACTTTTTGATTTCGTATAGTCAGAAACGTTTGAAAAGTTAGGAAATTGGGTTAATTTCATTTATTATCATACTCATTCTAATTTTCAGGTAAGCAAACATGTCAAAGTGTTTTTAGCGAACTCTAGTATTTGCCAAGGTTAATAGCAGACATTAATTTGTGCAATTTTAGGAAGCTGGACAAGACAATGGCCCAATTTAAAAACCATATACCCACATAATATGAACTGGATCAGAAAA